AAAGAAAACGCACCTCAAATGCACAGTTATGTGAACTTCATTTTGGAAATAAATAATGCATGGAAACCTGAATTAAAAATGTTTAAACTACATTCACTATTACTAGAGAAGGATAAGAGAGGATAATATTTCTGGCCTGAAAATTACAGGTATCATATCAAAATACTCTACACTCATTTCAAAGCTATCCTAACACTAATTACAAATTTTATTTAAATAATTTTTCTTTTAGACTAGCTAGTCAACAAAAGCTACTTTTTCCAAAAGCCCAATAAATTAAACAATCTGTTATCAACCCAATTGATGTTTGTAGATACTGCCTAAATCAACCCACTTTCTATCAAGTTGTTTAGAAGAGGATCCTCAGAAGAAAGTAATTATGAATAGGTTTTAAGATCAATGGACAGGGTCAGGGACTTTGCCGGCATCTCCTTAGCCTACCACACTCATTAGTGGAACTCAGATTATACTAGTAAATGTCATTTTAACAGAAGAACTGACTTCCTAGGCACTCCATCAAAGCACATATATGGAGCCCTGCAGCCCTGTTGCTGACTCGACAGGAGGGAGAGAGCCGGGAGGCCTGGCCACGTGGAAGCAGCAACTCCCTCTCTCCAGTGACTTTTTCAAGCCTCTCCCTTAAAAAAACAAACAAACAAACAAAAAAAACCCGGTAATACTCTATTATCTGATGACCACAAAAAGATTTAAAATTCACTTGGGTGCTCAATTTTGTTCACCATCAATATTTTCTCCTCTTGTGGCCACAAATTTTAGAGGCAAAATTTTAACAATGAACCAAAGGACAACTTTCACCTCTGCTGAAAATATCTGTTTAACCTTAACAAGTTAAGGTTCATGAAACAGTAAAGAAATAATTTTGAAAAGCACAAAAAGTTCCATCATTATTTTTAAAAAGAGAACTAGCTAACAAATTGAAAAGAAATTTGATTTTTCTTGGATCTTGGCTAGAAATGATTTCTAAAAATGTTAAAATGGCATTTCTAAGATACAATAATATCCTTTGATTCCTTGCTCTACATGGCAAAAAATTTCCTTTGCATGTTTCGTCCTTCTCAGGATAAAAGAAAAGGACATTAAACCAAAACATAATGATAAAAAATGCAAAAGATTTTAAAAAATTGTAAAACAATTCTTTATTTGAAAACTTTTTTTTTGAATAATGTCCTGAACAAGGTTTACTACACAGAGTAATACAACTGAGATGAAATATTCTGAAAGATGATATAAGGACTCTGAAAGACTAAGTTCTCACTGCTGTAAAGAAATGGTCTCATGTAAAAACAGTAAGTTAACACATCTTTAAAATGTTCTTTGCCTGTCGGTTTCCAATTTAAGTAAGATAAATAATTTCAAAAGCATAATAAGTTCAACTTTGGTATCAAAAATATTCTATCTAGCCAAATCCAGTATGTGTCTCTTACAAGTCTAAATCTCATTTCTATTTTAAGGCCCCTCTCCAGGTATACAAGCTAAAATATGCAATCTAGGATAGTTTTTAATAAAAAGGGCTGGGCCTCTCTGCAGAGTTTTCAAGAGAGGTAAAACAAATATCTAGATGTAATATCAGGTTTTTATAAATGAATGAAAGAAAACATGACAGGAGAGTAATTTCTGGGCAAACATGGGAGCAACCCACTTTTTTTTACCTGAACTACAGATTTTTAAAAGTTGCTATGTCAGGGGCCCTCCCTGGTGGCGCAGCTGGCTAAAGCACAGTACTAAGAAGCTTAGGCCACTCCCTCATGAGTTCGATCCCCGCCTGCCCCGGAGGTGATCCACATGGCCAGGCAGACCTCTCCTGACCCGCCCACTGCTCCCCCCAGCAGTGGAATTCCTCGATCTGCCTGTTCTGCTCCCTACTCTGTCTCTGATGAATCCTCTCACCCTCCATCTCTGGTCTGTACCCCAGTTCTGTACGAATAAATAAATCTTTTAAAAAAAAAGTTGCTACTTCAATCAATAATAAAATTAGGCAAATTGTACATTTAAAGTGTTTCAAGTAAATGAATGCATAACTTCTAGTAAAAAGGGGAAACCTATTAAAACACCCCAGTACATACTACATACACCCTCCAGTAGGCAAGCATCCACGGAAAAATATTAAAAAATTTAGTTGGGTTTTCCACTCAGTTAAATCAGTCCTATAACTAATGAAATGATGGCTCTAAAGCCCTTATAAAAGTTCACACTCTTATAATTACTTGTCTTAGTATCTGAGTTAAAAGGAGCAGATTTTTTTAAATAACAATTTAGATTTTGTAGAGTAATACAAGAAAATAAAATAATATCTCTCTTTAAAAAGCAAAGTGCTATCATATTCTTATTCCTTAACTCATAAAAGAAAAAAGTAAACAGAATAAATCACATATAAAGACATATAAGTAAAAGATAAAGTATGCCTTTATATCACAAGCTGCAAAGGGAAGCACAAATATTTTAAAGCAAGATCCAAAAATTATGGTTCCTTAGTGAGAACTATGGCAGAAAAGCAGTATGTTCATTAAGTTTTTCCGGAAAACAACTTACATTATCACCTGGTAATATTTAGTATTACTGGTCTCATGAGGTTATGTGGTCACTACACAGAAATATAAACACGCTTAGAATAAAATTAAGAGACTACCTAAAAGAGCTCTTATTCTACTGGGTAATGGTTCAGCTCTTAAATGATATTATAGAAGCAAAGACTAGATTAAAAGTATTCCATAGTGGACTAAGTATTATTTAAAGTTTCTCCAATTTGCAAAAGAATATAAACACACATTCAATACATAAATCCAGAAATCATATATGAAGGCATACATATCCCAAAAGACATCAAAAATCTTTAACTAAATATACTCTAGGAAACACTAGAATGACTAAAACTACTTGAGGTCTTGAATGTCTGAGAACTGGGCTCAGACCAGCAACTGAAGGACAACAGTGACATCTAGTGGACATTTCAACTACATCATCATCATTTCTGTTTCACATCTCCCCTTGCCTGAGAGATTCTGTAACAAATCTTTAGTTTTAAACCAAAACATCCCAACACTGCTAACAAAAGTTTTCTCAATCTGAGTGACCCAATCTTTAGATAAATACAGATGTTTAACCACATATAGTAATATATCCAGTACGTATTTAAATTCACTAAGTGCTAATTGAATATATGAGGTACACAACTAAAAGAAGGGTTAGCAAAAATCCCATTGTGATCATAATAAAAATTTTAAATTTATGAATGAAAATATCACTGCAGTGAAGAAACTCTTGAGAACATTAGTAGCTACTCTATCAATGAACAGACTGAAGTATGGGTAGTGTGTATTCATCAGTATGTTCTATTATGCACAACAATAAACATGTCTAGACTAAAAGAATATCTTATGACAATTTTTCAAAACCAAACTAGTCTCATGAATATTTATAGAATCATTCTTTAAAGTAAAAGAAAATAAATGTGCAGAACAAGACCAGGTAGTCATTTCAAACAGTGGCAAACTTACCTCAAAGAAGGATGAAAACACAAAAAATACCCGTGGGCAATGTCCTTGCTTATTCTTACTTATCAATCCACAAAAAATTTTCACAAGAGAACAATATTGTATTTACTTATTGTAATGAAAATATATGTGATTTTTATTAAGTGCGCTGAGGGAAGAAATGTAAATGCAGGGACAGAGCTGAATATAACAAACACTAAGTCAAATAGGAGTCCAGTCTAAAAACTAGCTGGAGGTCTTAAAAAATTCCCAAGTGGGGCCCTCTCTGGTGGTGCAGAGGGTTAAAGCACTGCACTAAAAAGCTTAAGCTACTTCCACATGAGTTCGATCCCCGCCTCCCCCGGAGGAGATCCACACGGAGCGGCAGACCTCTCTTGACCTGCCCGCTGCTCCCCTCAGTGGTGGACTTCGTAGATCTGCCTATGCTGCTCCCCACTCTGTTCCTGGTGAATCCTCTCACCCTCCATATCTCAAGCCTGTAGCCCAGTTCTGTATGAAATAAATCTTTAAAAAAAAAAATTCCCAAGTGGCTCAGAAATCTTTCAAATTCTCTTTATTTAAAATACCTGAAAATACTCTTTATTCAAAATCACTGAAAATATCTCTGTAATTTATGTATTTGAGGAATAATGAAAATCAGGTCACAAAAACACTGTGCTAATAGCTTCACAAAATTATATAAAGGATAAATAAGTTGTATATTTCAATAATGGACTACAACTCATAAAAAAACAAACAAAACATAGAAGCACCAACATGGATAAATCTCCAAAGTAGGTTGAGAGAAAAATTTCAGATAGTATGATTCTTGAACCCTGTATGATTCCATTTATATGACATCTAGAATAGGCCAACTTGATCTATGGAATGAACGAGTGAATGGAATGAGAACATTGACTACTTCTGAGTGTAGGGCAGAGATGGAGACTGACTGGGGAGGGGAAGGAAGAAATTCTCTGGGGTAATGGAGGTGGAGCTATAAAAATAGCCCCGAAGTTTTGTTTTTCTCAAAATGCTCCCAAAAAATATACTTAATTATTTGTGCAAAATTTACATAAATTTTAACCTTAAAAATGAAACTTAGGCAAACGTTGTTATTATATAGTATGCTGAATTATTTGCAGTTCATAGATATCTGCCACTTACTTTGAAATGCATAAAAATGGATGAATGGAAAGGTTATAATAAAGCAGTATCACAAGTCCATGGCAACTGTACAATCTAAGAGGTAAGTTATATTGGGGTTCTCTACGCAATTCTTTCATCTTCTCTATATGCCTTAAGACTTCCGAAACTAATGTAAGGGTAAAAATAAAGAGGACAATCAGAATTCAAAAGGAAATTTAGAAACTTTATAAAAAATGTTTTCTCAAACAGCAAGTTTCCCTTTTACCTATTACCATTTCAATATGCCTACACTATTGGCAAATGCATCTTCTGAAAAGTAAGAGTTACAGGATTACATATTTATAAAATTTAAAGACATACCCGAATTTCTTGAAGGTTGTGAAAATTATTTCCTACTCTGACTGAGATCTTGCTTGGAGTATAACTTTCATCAGATTTGTAGTCTGCGTAAATACATAATGTCTTCACTGTTGTTTTTCTTCTGAAAGCAATAAAGTAAAAATGGCATGTCCTTTACCATACAGAAAGTTTATTTTGAAGCATCTAAATCTTGTGACTTTAAAAGTCATCATTAGTTAAAACCACTAGCTAAATCAGCAATTTCCATCCTCTTAAATTTTAACAATAAAAATGAAGACCATGTAAAATTATAGGCGCAAGTCTGATTGTATAGATGTCTCTTATCTAGAACATGCTCAAGAACCAGGTGAAAGCAAAGAAGCAACAGGTAAGCCAAAACAGAGCACCGACAAGCATCAGGGACTTCAGTCTCCTTCATTTATATTTTGCACAGAGAAATTCTCCTAAAAGTCTGGTCTTTGCTAGTCAATTAATTTTCTATCTTAAGATTTGAAATTAACTAGTTATGTGAGAATCTGAGCCATCAAAGCAAAAAGCATTTTTTAAATAGAAAGCATAATCTACTAATTCAAGAAGTAAAAGCCTACTATTTCTAAACTATACATATCTTAGGAAAATAAGCAAAGATTATTTAACAAATTAATCGAGTCAGAAACATTAAAAGATACTCAATCTCTAATAATCAAGAATATGGAAGTTAAAACATTTTATAATATTGAAAAATACTAAAATGACTGATGCATACAAATTTGACTACAGAAAGTACTTTCATAGTTTACAAGCAGATACACAGCCTTCAACCCACCGATTCAACTTCTAAGAATGCATTAAAAAACAACAGTAACACACCTATTCAAAAACAGATATAGATATACTGTCCTGCAATTAAACTACTGAAAACTTAAAAATTTCAAAAGGAAATTAAATTACATCCATTCAATGAAATACTATACATCTATTGGACATAACCACACAGATAGAGAGCTAAAAAATCAATTACAATAGCATATACAAAAGAACACCATTTTTGAGGAAAAATGTAATTGTATTACTTTTTATTGAGATAAGCCTGGCTTACCACACTGTGTATGATTTAGAGGTACAGATTTACACCTCTTCAACCATGTGCCCACATCACACACACCACCACCAATGCCCCATGCTCTTCCATCTTATTCCACTGGGTCTCCCCACCCCCTACAAATTAAAAAATGTTAAAGGTATATAAACCTACATATGCGAATAGAAAAAGGCTTAGGTGGAAACATACAAAAATTGCAAAAGTGACTATCTGGATGGGGGAAACTATGGGAGGTCTTTATTTCTATTTTTTCTTCTTGTGGTTTCTATGTTTTCTAAACCATTTTTCACAGTAAGGCATGCCTTAACTTGGTAATCAGGTGAAAAAAAA